GTATGCTTGGATGTTACCGCGGAGGCTGGCTGGTAAACAATGCCACCGGCGGCACATGTGAGGCTGGCTAAGGGCGCACATTGGACGCGTCTCGGACGAAGAGCGGTGAGCAGGTTTTTGAGCGGTATGCGAGGCAAAATTTTTGCGATAAAAGCGAGCGGTATGCGGATTGTACGTTATGTGATGGCGATGGTATGCGGGGGTCCACTGTATATATATATCCTCTCCTCACTTAACAACAGAGTTCCATTCCTAAGACCACGTCGTTAAACGAATTCATCGCTAAGTGAAAAGCATAATATAATGGTAGTGAGTTTGTGTCAACCATCTTTGATATTGTTTTAATGTCACCTTTGCACCATTTATAACATTTCTGGTATATGTATTTTTAAATGCTTTTACAGTAGTGTACTGTATATTGAAATAAGCAGAATAAAAGAAATCAGCTGTAATGTACATCATTTAGGTAGGAATACTGGTCAGAGAGTTCGTCGCAAGTCCAAGGCATCATCAGTAAGCGAGTATGTCGCTAAGTGAGGAGAGGCTGTTTATATATACAGTAGGGCCCCACTTATACGGCGGGTTAGGTTCCAGGCTGTCGCCGGAAAGCAGACATCGCCGGAAGGCAGAACGCCATTTTTTCCATTTATAAATGCATATAAATGCCAGACAACAAGTTTACACTAAATTATATTAAGTTAGTAATAGAACTAGGCATTAAAGACACACAAAGTAAAATAGATTCACAGTAAATTCATTACTTATCTTAAAGTATTTGTAATCTTAATGTAGGGAGAGAGGTGAGTAGTACTTATTTGTAGGAAGTCAGGTGCAGGTAGCCCAGGTGTAGGTAGCCCTGGCTCCCTGTCTCATACTTAATATACGATATTTAAAACATCCCATAGAGGTAAAATACACATACAATACACTCATTATTTACCATAAAATATGTGTAGTCTTAATATAGGAAGTCTGGAACAGAAATTCTCCAGGCTGAGGGACTGACAACCTCAAATCTACGACTTCAAGGGTGATGGACTGATTACATCGTCTTCACATCTCTACTGCTCCTGCCTACTTTCTGTACTCGACTGAAGAAGCCTACTGTGTAGGCGAAACATTTCGGAATAAAGTTGCCTAAATGTTGCCTATGTGTCTTACCTACCAATGCTAGTGGGGATTGCAAAGTGAAGCCTTTACTCATGTATCACTCTGAAAATCCCAGAGTGTTCAAGAAAAACAGTGTCTCATCACTCATCAGTACTCTTCAATAAAGGTAAGTGTCATTTTAGTATTTATTTATGTATTTGTTGTGCATGTCTCATTGTTTTCTTCGTAGGGAAATGTATATTTCATGTAAAAAAAATTATTTTTTTTTTAATACTTCTGGCTGTCTGGAACGGATTAATTGGATTTCCATTATTTCGTACGGGGAAAATTAATTCAGCTAACGATAAATTCGGCTAAGGACAAGCTCTCTGGAATGGATTAAAATCATTGGTCGAGGGTCCACTGTATATATATACATGTACATATATATATATATATAAAGAGGTTTGGTAATAAGTAATACATGTTTTATGAAAGAGGATAAATAAGTATACAAGGTATGATATAGCACATAATGAAAGTAGTTTGTTAGATTATGTATTGGTGGATAAAAGGTTGATGGGTAGGCTTCAGGATGTACATGTTTATAGAGGGGCACCTGATATGTCAGATCATTATTTAGTTGTAGCTACAGTTAGAGTAGGAGGTAGATGGGACAAAAGGAAAATGGAAACAACAGGTAAGAGAGAGGTGAAAGTGTATAAACTAAGGGAGGAGGAAATTAGGGTGAGATATAAGCAAATATTGGCAGAAAGGTGGGCTAATGCAAGTATGAGTAGTGGGGAGGTTGAAGAGGGTTGGAATAGTTTTAAAAATGCAGTATTAGAATGTGGGGCAGAAGTTTGTGGCTATTGGAGGGTGGGTGCAGGAGGAAAGAGGAGTGATTGGTGGAATGATGAAGTAAAGGGTGTGATAAAAGGGAAAAAGGTAGCTTATGAGAGGTTTTTACAAAGTAGAAGTGCTATAAGAAGAACAGAGTATATGGAGAGTAAAAGAAAGGTGAAGAGAGTGGTGAGAGTGTGCAAAAGGAGAGCAGATGATAGAGTGGGAGAGGCATTGTCAAAAAATTTTGATGAAAACAAGACAAAATCTTGGAATGAGATAAACAAGTTAACCCTTTCAGGGTTTCCGACGTGCTAGTATGGCTTGCGCACCAGGGTTATTGATGTACTAGTATGCCTAAATTCTAGCGCCTTCAAATTTAGTGAGAGAAAGTTGGTAGGCCTACATATGAAAGAATGGGTCTATGTGGTCAGTGTGCACAGTATAAAAAAAAAATCCTGCAGCACACAGTGCATAATGAGAAAAAAAAAATCCGAGCGTGTTTTTGGTTTAAATCAGCGACATTGCAGTGTATTTTCGTATGGTATTTATGGTTGTATTTTAGTTTTCCTGGTCTCATTTTATAGAATGGAAGACATACTACAGAAACTGGGATGATTTTGATTGGTATGTAGAAATCAGCTACTGCTTTAAATACTCTACATAAAATTTATTCATCAGCTATTGATAAAATCATTACTGACACAATATAGTATTACATACATATTAAAATTGACACAGACAACGGAACAGGTTGAGATTGAATCCATTGCCAGCAAGTCTTAAAACTCCAGGTCATTGCATAAACCACTGGGCCACCTGACTATAATAAGATTTATCCAACTAGGTATATTTCTGTACACCATAGGGAAGTTAGCATGGGGCCCATGCTAACAAACCACCCATTCTGTGGTTTGTTTGCAGTCATGTTATTACAGTTTTGTGAGTTATTGATGCAGATATGGCAGTGTTACCATACCTTACCTCTGACCATACATTTGAGGGGACAATATTGAATGTCACCTTAATATTTACAAGTATAGTATTGAAGAAAGTAAATGTATTTAGATATTTGGAAGTGGATGTGTCAACAAATAGACATAATAAAGAATAAAGTAAAAAAGTTACATGGAATTAGGAGTATGTCAAATATTGGTATCAATGGGTATTGGCCAATTTTGATGGTACTGGTATTGGCCTAAAAATGAGCATTGGTAAATTTTGGTAGTATTGGTACCAAGATCATTAGGTATCAGGTAATTTTGATTGTTTCAACATCAGCCTAAAATTGAGTATCAGTATTGGCAAAACATTTGGTATTGTTCCAGACCTATATGGAATGTTGAGGCATCTGTGAAAAAAAAAAAATATCATTGTATGTAGAAAGATTGTTCCAAATTATAGTGGTACCAATACTTTTGTATAGGTGTGAGGCAAGGTCATTGTGTGTTTCAGTGAGGAGGAGGCTGGAGGCAATGGATTTGTCATGTTTGAGATCAGTGTTTGGTGTGAATATCAGATAAAAAATGAGTGAAGACAGTGGTAGTATGTATGGAAAGTATACAGGTGGCCCTCCACATTTGCGAAGGTTAGGGGATCAAGAACCTCGCGAATGTTGAAAATTCACGAATGTTTGGTGCACAAATATATTGTAGGGAAATATAATAATAGCATTTACTTAGCCTAACAATACTGCTTCTTTAACCTATTGAACCATGAACAATCATAAAACACATGAAAACATCGTAAAATACATACAAGTATTGTACATACATGCACATTATGATTTATTGACAACTGAGACCGTTTCCTCTTCATATCTATGAACAGAGTTTTGTAGGGAATTATGCTCCTATCAGTGTTGTTCATCACCTTCAAAGCCCTCAACATTGATGGGTTTGTGTCGTAAAAAATTGCTTGAGCTGTGCTGTCATTATCATCACTTGCCCTAGTTTTTCAAGGGTGAGGGCTTTAGGTTGATTAGCCTCAGCAACACTCTCCTCTTCTTCATCCTCATTCTCTGCCTTCACAATCTCCAGTAACTCTTCATCATTTAGGCCCAGTGCATGTTCATCAACCAGTTCTCTCATCTTACCCTCCTGCATTTCCTCGAACCCTTCACCACCAACTAACCTTGTTAACTCCACAGTCTTCCTCACGGCTTTGTTAATCTCATCCTGAGGACCAAATCCAACGAAATCTCACACACACTCTGGCCACAAAGCCCTCAAACAACCCTTCACTGTTTGAGAGTGTAAATCCTTGACACTCTTATGCACTGTTGAGAGGCAGTCAACAATGGTGAATTTCTTCCAGTATTGAGTGACACTCATATAAGGACAGTGACTGAGTGAGTGGTGGACTGGCAGGCTGGCTTCCAGTTGAGGGGGTAAGAGGGAGGGTAGTAGGGATGCTGCGGGAAGCATAAATATGATTGGGCAGCTGGGATTCACGAATGTTCGAAGCTCGCGAAAGTGGAACTCACGAATGTTGAGGGCCACCTGTAATTCAGAAAGCAGTTGAGTGGTTGTTAAGATAATTTTGCTCATATAGAAAGGCTGGAACAAGATAAATTGACCAACAGGGTGTATAAATCTAGTTGTGGATGGAAAGAGAGGTAGGGGATCATGCTAGGAAGGGTGGGATGAAGGGTGTGTAGGTGATGTTAAATGGTAACAGCATGAGCATCTGGCAGGGATGTGTGAGCATGTTTCACCAGAGTGTGTGGAGACAAGTGGTTTCCAGATTTTGAAATGCTGTTGGAGTGTGAGCAAGGTGAAGACTCAGGAGTAAGATTTATGACTCAGACACTGTTTAGCTGGATGAGTTATAGAGGTGGGAAGCAAGTGCCTTTACTCTAACGAATGAGTATGGATGTAGTATCTCCATATGTTACATTAAATCTGTTACTGATCAGTATTATTGTAGCACCACTTAAATTCAGTGTACAATCATTGTTTATATTGTTTCCTCCAATAAAGAGGGTAATTATGGTAATGTAAGCACTTAAAACAAGGATAACTAGTAATGCTTTCATTATTTTCACAATTTTCATCTCTTTTGTGCAGCGACTCCTGAAGCACACAAGCCGAGACCACCCCGACCATCCCTTGCTGACAGAAGCCATTGGTGTAGTGCAGCAGCTGGCCAGTAGGATAAATGCTGTTGAACAAGAAGCTGTTCAACACGAGGAACAACAGTTACACCTAAAAGAACTTGAGAATATTATTGAGGGCCTTGTTGGTCTTGTCCAACCAGATAGGTAATTGTAGAAATATATTCTCAGTATAAGTTAAAACTTTCTTGCTACAAGCTGGTAGTTTTTAGTATTCATAATATTAAGAGGTTGATGATAATCATCATTACCTCTGTCAGTTTTTGCTGCAGGAATTATTGTTGCCCCTGCCATCTGTGTGTTGTCGTGTGTGTTAGCTAAAATTTTCCTTAAGAAAGGATGGGAGTCAGAAAATTTGTTTCAGATCAAGTGTAAAACCTTGTAGGTGACACCAGTACTACTCAAAGACTCTTTTTTTTTTTTTAACACTCTAGCTGTCTCCCACCGAAGTAGGGCTCTCACTCTACCTGGCAAACAGCCCTGCCTTGGTAGAGCTGTTTGCCAGAAGCATGACATTACAGTTAAGTGCCCCTCCAGACTGCAACATTCCCACCCCTCAAAAGTGCTGGCACAGTACTTCCCACCTCCAGGACTCAAGTCCAGCTGACTTGTTTCTCTGAATCCCTTCATAAATGTTAATTTGCTCACTCTCCAGTAGCATGTCGAATCATAAAAACCACTTGCTGCCACTCACTCCTGTTTGACATGCAAGAACAACTCCTACTCCTTCCCACTCCAGATTTGTATGCCCTTCTAGTCATCCTGTTTTTCTCCATCCTCTATTCAGCCCTCTGAATAATATTGTAGTTACTCCATACTTCCTCCTTATCACCAAACTACAAATTCTTTGCACACACATTGCCCTCAAACATATCATCTCTACTGCCTCTAGCCTCCTCCTTGTGCAACATTCAAAACCCATTCTTCACATCCATACATAGTGTTGGGACTGCTATGCTCTGCAACATTTTCCTTTTTTGCCTCCATGAATAATGTTCTTAATCTTCACAGATGCCTCAGTGCACCATGCACCTTTTTTTTCTTTGCAAATTCTTTGGCTTACTTCATTTCTCTGCCGGCAAATCCACTCCCAAATATCAGAAAGCATTAACATCCTCCATGCTCCCTCTTTCCAGTCTGATATCCAGTCACCTGTTCCCTATATTTTTTGATCACCTTGCTCTGTCCTATGTTTGTTTTTAAAATTCTTCCTTTACATACCTTCCCAAATTCATTTACCATACTTTTCAACTTTGCTTCAAAATCTCCCAAACGATCTGCTCACCAAGAGTTCAGCCTTCAGTTTAATTCAGTTCAGTTAAAGAAAGTATGGAATAAAACCACTGATTATTATTGAGGTATCAACAAATTTCCCTTGGAACTAGTGAGAGACTACTGTTTTTTTTCAACATGTTGACTGTTTCCAAATATATTGAGCTTTCTTTGGCAGGACGTTCTTGCGTCACGACTTAGTAACGATGCATCCTGGACCAGTGACACGCAAAGAGCGCTGCCTGTTTCTATTTTCTGATCTTCTTGTCATCACTGCCATCAAGAGACGCTCGGGCACTATTCGGAAAGGTTTGAGGTAAAAATATTTACACAGTCACCTCTCATTTTTACCAAAAGTATGATTGGGTCTAATAAAAATGATTACTATGTAAATAGTCATATGTGTACACCTGCCATCCTACTTACGACTGAGCTTAGTTCCAACCAACCAATTGCAAGTCAAAATGGACATAAGTCGAACCTTAGAAAATTGCCAGTAGCGGCTAGGACCCTGGGTAACTTAAAAAGAGATTGGACAAATATATGAGTGGGAGAGGCTGGGTTTGATGGTTGTTTAGCGTATGGGAGCAAATTCTTGGGCAGCTTTGGGAAAAGGTTGGACAAATACAGGGGTGGTTTTGATAAGGACCTTACTTGTATGGGCCAGTAGGCCTGCTGCAGTGTTCCTTCATTCTTATGTTCTTAAGAACATAAGAAAGGAGGAACACTGCAGCAGGCCAGTTGCCCCAAACTGGGCATGTCCTATTTTATATGTTACCCAAGCCATAGATTTTGTAACCTTTTGAACCAGGTAAGAACCAGAAATAATGGATTTAAGTTGGGATAAATTTAGATTTAGAAAGGACATAGGTAAGTACTGGTTTTCAAGCAGAGTTGTAGATGCGTGGAACAATCTTCTGAGTAGGTTGATCGAGGCTAGGAACTTGGGTAGCTTTAAAAAGAGATTGGACAAATATATGAGTTAGAGGGGCTCGGTTTGATTGGTGTTGTGGGTACGGGAGTGAATTCTTGGGTAGCTTTGGGTAGGGGTGGTTTTGATAAGGACCTGCCTTGTATGGGCCAGTAGGCCTTCTGCAGTGTTCCTCCATTTTTATGTTCTTTTGTACCAGCTGACTTTTCCACTACATGTATAACTACTACTACTACTACCTCTACTTGTGTGGGCATAACGTTGTCAATAAAGAATCACATTATACTGTTTGTGTGTTTATTTTTCCAAGCCTGTGTGGCACGTTGCCGTGAGTAGTGGTCAAATATCATGCAGCGGTATGCAGTATGCATCTGGCAGCCCTGCTGCCAGACGCATGGTCATAAGTCGAGTAGTCTTATGTCGCGCAGGTCGTAAGTAGGATGGTAGATGTATTCTACAATACAAAAGACGAAACAAGTGTATGTGACAACCTCATAGTGTAGTACAGTAATTTTATGTAGATAAACTAATTTTTGTATAACTGCTATCTCGTATTTTTATGAAGGAATGTAAAATTATAATTCGAGTAGAACAAAGAATATTGTCAGTGAAAGTCTTTATTAATAAATTTTGTGTTAAGGGGTGAACTTGACAGACTCTTACACAGGAACACAAAACTCGAGTTTATATAATCCATCAAACTGGAGGAGGTGGAGGAGACATGTTATAAAATTTGATGACATCTGGGGCTAGGCTTGCCATTTTAGTTCAGGTGTTGGTCACTGCCTTTGGAGAATAATTTATGTTAGAGGTAGTGTATTGCTGGATGCTCCCTCATTCTGTCTAGTGGCGTTTTGTGTCCATATAACTGCTGGTTCTAAGCATCTTGTTTTGTATTGTTTTTTAAATATCAGTCAGGACATTGTTTAGAAGCATTAATTTCATAGCTACAAAACACTGTCAAACAAAATCAGAGAGGCTTTCAGCATCAATCTGCCTCTTGTCCAGCTGATTTTTTTTCAGAAACACAGACAGCCACCTGAACTGTGGTAAAGCCCCGCTATATATCATTCCCATACCTTCCAGCACTTCTCCTCACACATTGTGATGGAGTACACACTACTCTAAGATCTAGTTTTGTATTTCTCTGTATGCTTTATAAACTTTGCATTTAAATGTAACTGTTTTACTCTGTTTGTTGTCAGTTTACCAAGCATTTCAAAATTATCTTTGCTTGTAGCCTACACCATCAAGGATAACAAAAATGTTAACACTTTTCTTTCTCCCACAGTTTACCGTATACATTACTGAGTTCCTTAGAATCCAACAAATTCAAGCTCTTCAAATTCATTCCATTAGATGACCTGGAGATTGCTAGATGTAAGTTATGGTGCACTCTCATCTATGTATTCAGTGCCATTGTTTATCTCAAACTTTCATGCAATTGATGTCTTAGTCATTCATGTGCCACCACAACTTTTGGTAAGATAAACATATTATGCCTGTGATAGGTATGGAGAGTTCTACCCCCACAGCCCAGTCTGTGGCCAGACTTTCCTGGTGACCTAATCAGCTAAGCTATTGTTACCTACAACCCACAGGCTTACATAGTCATCACAGACTGACTGATCAGGCATTATCTAGAAAAATTTGTCTAGTTTTCCATGAAAACTTCTATACGTATTTGTGCCAGCTATAGTGTTTTATTTTTTTTGTTTTCTTTTACTGTTACAGTAACTACAGTGGAACCTTGACTTACAAGTGTCTCAGCATACGAGTTTTTCGAGCTACGAGCCGTCACTCGATCGATTTTTTGCTCTGAGTTACGAGCCAACATCTGAGTTATGAGCAAGCTTCTCCCACATCCCCCTCAACCCACAACCCACCTCGCTTGTTTATCTATGATTTCATGCTTTAATTCCTTGGACATTATCATCTTTTTCTTCTCAGCACTGTCCTTTGCACTTACTTTCTTAGGACCCATGGTTAGAAAAAAGAAATTTGGCAAAATAACAACACAAAATGCAAGTAAAACACAAGAGAAATGCTTCCACAGTGAGGTAAACAGTGCACTGCGCCAGCTGGTGGTGTTCTGAAGCTCCTCATTATTATTATTATTATTGTTAGTTTAGGGAACTGGAGCACAGATACAATTTCCTAGATCAAGAGCCCCTTACCAGCATCAAGGTTCCATGACACAGGAATTCCACTGGAACAGATTAATGGCATTTCAGTTAATTTAAATGAGGAAAATTGATTTGATATATGAGCAAATTGAGTTATGAGCTAGGTCATGGAACAGATAAAACTCGTAACTCGTGGTTCCACTGTATATTATAAATATCTTTTCTTAGTTATTTCTGAGATTTGGCAGTGCACAGTATGTTTTTTCATGCCAAAATTTAGATTGGTTATTTAACCCTTAAAGGGTCCGTGCCATAGATGTACGGTTTTATGTTCAGGGTCCAAACCGTAGATCTACACCATGAGCTCAGCTCACTCTGATAAGCTGTGAGTGGTAAATTTGGGCCTAGATATGAGAGAATACATCTATGTGGTATGTGTGCACCACAATAAACAAATCCTGCAGCACACAGTGTATAATGAGAGAAAAAAAACAGACAGTGATTTTCGATTAAAACAGCGACTTCGCAGTGTTTTTTCATATATTTTTTATAGTTGTATTTGCGATTTCTTGGTCTCATATGATAGAATGGAAGACATATTACAGAAATAGAGATGATTTTGATTGGTTTTAGCATTGGAAATGGCGTTAAACTAAGCTCAAAGTAGCGGAAATGTTAAATTTTTGCCGATGTTCAAGAGTAAACAAACGACCTCAAACGTCTAAAACACGCCAGCTGGTGGGTCTAATATACATTCACAAATGTGGTGATGATATTTATACAATTATTACAGTATTGTATAACAGTAAATCTTCTATTTTTTTGGTTTGAATATAAATTCATTATGTGAATAAAAAATCAAAATGGAATTCATTTGTAAAGCCTCAAAACGTAACTAATGAACAGAGGAAATGTTAGTTTAGTGCCAGGAATACCTACATTGTTTATTCTGGACCCTATTTTGAAATTGGAATATTTTGAACTTTGTGTTAAATTGGCCAAGTTACCAATTTCCGATCACTTTATTTTGTAGTTGAAACAGTTGACTTGGCAATTTCTTGTGCTCATCGATAGAATAGAAGTAATACTAGTGAAATAGCTAAGAATTTGGTCGACTGGAATAATGTAATTGGCCTAAAATGGGAGTCAAAGTCGGCAAAATCGCCGATTCGTAAATATCGCTGACACATCAAAATTCGCGAGAACATAATTTTGTCAATTTTCCATCAAATTTCGTACTTTTCATTTTATTACCTTCAGAAAAAGATTTTCTACCATTTCATAAGAAAAAATAAAATTTTTTTTTTTTGAAAATTCTTGGACCCTGGTGTGCACTTAGAAATTTGGCCTCTGGACCCTACCTGGTCACTACCTTCTGGAGTTAAAAGTCCTGTCACAGTTGCAATTAAAAAAAATTATCATCTGAAATATTAGAGAAAGTTTTTTGAAGGTAATGACACCAAAAATGTAAAATTTAATGTAAAAATTAGGGAATTACACAGGTGTGAAGTTAGAAATCAGGGAACACTTAACACAACTGTGATTTTGCCCACTTTGAGGCTTATTTTAGGGCAGTTCGAATGCTAAAACTGACCCAGTTCCTGGCTGTTTTGCTAATAAGCTTTCCTCTGTTTATTACTCATATCTCCAGGCTTCTCCAATATAACACTCACACTCCATTATGAATTCATGATCACAAAAATCTAAGTTTTATCCTATTTCTCAGCTCAATAAAATATATGAAAGAATGATGGGTCATGGTTTAGGTCATCCCAATAATTGAAGCAGACTTAGTGAAAACCAGTAAAACAGATGAGAGGTAGGGTGGTCTTTCCCTACCCTACTCAACTCTTCTTTAAAAAAAAGACAAAAAAATCAAATATTTATACCAATTTAAAGCCTATTTCAGGTCACTTCTGGCATGAAACCAAACAAAATTATTTCTGTTTGACTAGTATGTCTTCTAATCTATCAAAGGGCACCAAGAAGCAGCCACCCTAGAAAACATCTCAAACACAAAGTCAGAGGCTAGTTGTTCCAGTCATGCACTATGGGGGGAAGGATTTATTTTATACTGGAGTATACCTGGAGAGGGTTTTGGGGATCAACGCCCCTGCAGCCCAGCCTGTGACCAGACCTTGTGGTGGATCAGAGCCTGATCAGCCAGGTTGCTACTGTTGGCCACATGCAAACTGACATACAAACCACAGCCCAGCTGGTCAGGTACTGACTTAGGTGCCTGTCTACTGCACAGACCCATTCTCTCATGTCTAGGCTAAAATTTACTTCTCACAGCATATTTAAGAGTGCTGTGATTATGACGTGTGCATATGTAAGCACCACTGGCCTCAGTAACATATGTCTACTTGGGAGATTTTGAAGAAAGGAAAAATAATTAAAATTACGCATCTATCACTTGAGTTAGAATTAAAGTACAGTATATACTTAAGATAATCCCATAGCTATGATATACCTTGGAAATCTCCAATAAAATCAGTGAGTATCTTGTAAAATAATTGGCCAAATTTTTCCTAATTTCCTGAATAACTTCTCGTTCTTTTTTATTTCTTATGTCTGGTATGAGTGTTATAGTTTATTTCCTACAGGTATATTGGCAGTTTTGTAATTGTTTTACATGATGGTAAGATTGCTGGTGTCTTTTTTCTGTCTCATACACATGCAAGTTTTCAGGTACGTCTTGCTACTTCTGTTTACACTCAGGTCACACTACACATGTATGTGCAAGCATATAAATACACACCCACACAGGACCCCAATGGAAATAAGTCACTCTGTATGACTTTTTTTTGGGTTATTCTAGGTTTTTTACACATATGCTACTATGTATGATAATCTATGTAATTGTATTTGTGTACACCCAAATAAACTTACTTACCCTCTGGGTTTTCTTTTATTTTCTTTCTAGATCTTGTTCTTGTTTATTTCCTCTTATCTCCATAGGGAAGTGGAACAGAATTCTTCCTCCATGAGCCATGCGTGTCATCAGAGGTGACTAAAACGCTGGGAGCGAGGGGCTAGTAACCTCTTCTCCTGTATATATGCTAAATTTAAAAAGAAAAACTTTCGTTTTTCTTTTTGGGCTACCCTGCCTTGGTGGGATGCGGCCGGTTTGTTGAAAGAAGAAGATATTGGCAATTTCTCTGTATGAATTTTCTTTTGTTATATTTGCACATTTCTAGTAAGTCAGTAACCCCTATTTCTTCTGTAAAAACTTCTGCTTTCTCTTTCTATGTTTGATCTTCTTTTAGGTATTCTAAGTGATACATATTTCAAATGTATGTAAGAGTAAATGTATGTTTGAAAAATGCTAATTTTTTTTTTCAAGGCAGGTAGGCAGTAAGGTTGGCATATAATGCCATACTGTATTCAAAAGTACTGTTACCATTTTTTTTTTTTTTTTGTAGCACGAGATGAAAGTGTGAAGAAGTTAGTGAGAGAGATGGAAACCTTACAAGAAGATCTTAAAACTCTGCAGTACATCTCCAAGCTCTCTAAAACTCTTAGATGTCCTCGAGGGCCATTGGAGGAGTCTGTCCAGGAAATGCTTGCCCAGGTTCAGAAGCAGCTGGCAGAGAGACATGGTGCTGACTCACAACTCATGGAACTTGAGCTCACTATCACTACACAGTTAGTTGAGCACTATCTACAACTATGAGAAAAATACCTGTTTTTGCTTTGTCCTTTGATTAATAATGAAGAAATACAGAACAAAAAGGCACAAGACAGTGACTGGAACAATACACAGATAACCCGCACGTAGGAGGGAGGAGCTTATGACGATGTTTTGGTCCAGACAGAAATGTCATCATAAGCTTCTATCTCTCTCTCCTTTGTATGGGTTATTTGTGTAATGAAGAAATAAAGTGAAATCTTTACATATTTCAATAAGGACATTATATCAAAATATGTATATTGGATACAGGTTATAATTATAAAAAAAGCAGTCTAATATAAAACATTTATTTTATTGATTATAGTTATGAGCACTTTTAAATTTCTAACAGTACCTGCACTTTCTTGCCTCAGTAATATATAACATTGCCAAGCTGACACTTTTTTAAGGTCTGCTTGCCAGTCTCTGGCAGAATTTTCTCCTTATTCTATGTTGTAAATGCTTGTGATTCTTACCTATTTTCTGAAAACCTCTATAAATTTACATTCACAGGGAAAGTATGGAGAATCTAACCTTTATGTTTAGAAGTGCAGAAAAGAGAGCCATGTGGGAGGAAGCATTCAATGATGCTAAACACAAACTAGGTGAGTCATACTCCAAATACTGTACACAGTAGGTCCTCCATTTATGATGTTAAAGCGTTCGTGATTATCTTAACTCCTTTGGCCAGAACTTAGAACCTATTTTTTCTTAGATGCCCACGTTCCACTCTGAAATGTTTCATATATGATTTCATTTAACTTGTTTACTGAGAATATTTTCCCAGTGTCTTATATTGAGTGCTGTTCTTTTTCACTTAAATAGTAAGAACTTTATTTATTTATGTACATGATATAGCATGTAGAACACCTAAAAAAAAATAACATCCAAAATCCAGTAATATTTGGTCTGACTGGGTGTCCATTGTCTTTGACTTAATGCAAGAAAATTTCAAACTGTAAGATTTTATTCAAAATATGCTTGTTGGATTGAATTTCCAATATCTAACTTTGTTTCCTTTCTCATCATTCTTTCTTGTGAGATACAGTATTGTTAACCCTTTGAGGGTTTTCGTCGTACTAGTACGTCTTACGCGTATGGGTTTTTGACGTACTAGTACTCATAAATTCTAGCGGCCTCAAATCTAGTGGGAGAAAGCTGGTAGGCCTTCATATGAAAGAATGGGTCTATGTGGTCAGTGTGCACAGTCTAAAAAAAATCCTGCAGCACACAGTGCATAATGAGAAAAAAAAAACTTTGACCATTTTTTTTTAATAAATCAGCGACTTTGCAGTGTATTTTCGTATGGTATTTATTGTTGTATTCTAGTTTTCTTGGTCTCATTTTATAGAATGGAAGACATATTACAGAAATTGAGATGATTTTGACTGGTTTTACTAAGAAAGGTGCCTTGAAATTGAGCTCAAAGTAGCAGAAATGTTCGATTTTTACCAAACTTCAAAAGTAAACAAATCGTGCCAAGCGTGCAATACACGTCAACTGGTGAGTCTAATATTCTTTCACAAGTGCACCTATAATATTTATACCATTTTTACACTAATGCAGTAGTCTGCATAACAGTAAATCTTATATTTTTTGTGAAAATAAAAATTCAAAGTGGAAAGCAAAAGAATATAAGAGGGGCCTTGAGACGTGACTAATGACTAGAGGAAATGTCATTTTAGTGCCAGGAATGTCTTTCTTGTTTATTCTGGACCCTATTCGGAAATTGGCATCTTTTGAAATTTGTGTGAAATTGGCAAAATTGCTAAATTCTGACCACTGTACTGGATAGTTGAATTTCATAAATGAGTGGTTTCTTGCACCCATTCGATAGAAAAAATGGAGTTCTAGCGAAATATTCATGTTTTTTGTCGACTAGTACAGTGAAATTGGCCGAAAATGGGGCTCAAAGTGGGCAAAATCGCCGATGCGTAAACATCGCCGAGACCGCTAACTTTGCGAGAGCATAATTCCGTAAGTTTTCTATCAAATTTCAAACTTTTGGTGTCTTTATGATCGGGAAAAGATTCTCTATCTTTTCTTAAGAGAAAATAATTTTTTTTTTTTTTTAAATTTCGCCGACCCTGAGAACGAGTTTCGGAGAGGGCCTGTCGACCCTCAAAGGGTTAAAACACAGTAAATGTGAGAAGATGAGAGTCAACCATGTGTAACTGCAGTGTTTACTAACAACTTCAGTACCATTATCTGCTGCTGTGTCCTCGGCAACCATAGGTTCCAGTGCCATAAAGGTGTAAAATTATAAGTCAGGACATCATAAGTTGGGGACCTACCATGTCAATAGGGGAAATGTGCACTACGTGTGTAAGAATTAAAAAAAAAAAAAGTTTGGCAAATATTGTCATTTGGAATGATTTAAAAATAATGTAATACATTTATAAATTTTTACATTTTTGCAACACCTAAAAATAACATCCTAAAGTAATGATAATTGCTGAGTAAATATCTGCAATTATGACTGTGAATCACTCTAAATATGTGACAAAAATTAATTGTAGCACTTGGTGCACCCATAGCAATGTCAGCAGATCGGCGACCTCCTCCAGAGTTTTTATCAGCTCTACCTATTAGAAAAACAAGGGCAGGTCTTCAGTTCACCTGTGCAACTGCAACTCTTGGTCTCAATGCTCATAACCTAAAAGATGTTTGGGTGTGTAACAGGTAAGATAGATCTGAACATGTATTTGAATTTAAAATATTTGAGAATATTAAGTGAATAATTAATGTAATGTAGGCAAAAAAAAATTAAAAGAAATATTTAGTGAAGATGGCATTTGGTAAAGACTCATATTCTTTGCAATTATTTTTGTGCTGCACCATGCAAATTTATTGTCATTAATATACCATTTGCTACTTGTACAGTACCATTATAAACTTGAAGGAAAGCCACAGCATTATGAGTTAATATTTTAGATAAAACTCTGATACTCTTATTAATTTTTTCAATTAATAAAATGGCTGATACTAAAAATGTGGCAACAAGATTCATAACATTATACACTATAGTATTTTTCATGGTTACTCTATTATAATTGCAGTGATAAATAGTAATTGAATTTTTTTAAAAAGCCAAATACAGTACCTTACTTTTTTGTTGTCAGTGATGGTTATGTGGGGCAGGTGTGTGTACTAAGTTTGCAGCCAGACCCAACAGTAGCATGCTGCAATGGTGTCTGTAATGCCAGAATCCTCTCCATTGCTTCTATCCCTGCAGCTCCTCAACCGTAAGATTTCTACTCTCATTTGTTCAACTTTTTCTAACTTATTTATTTAGGAGAATATTTATTGTTGACTCACGAAATCGTAATGACACGATTGCAAACAAACCATACCCTGGCCGGGATTGAACCCGCGGTCAGAGAGTCTCAAAACTCCAGACCGTCGCGTTAGCCACTAGACCAGCTAGCCACAATAAGATTCGTCCAACTAGGTATATTTCTACACCATAGGAAGGTTAGCACAGGCACCACTGTGACCACAAATGCAAGTTTTTACAGACGAATCTCCAGCTAGCGTGGCCGTGACGAACTCTAGCTCAAGTCCCCTCACTGCCTTCAACATGACTCACGAAATCGTTTGTCACGGCCACGCTAGCTGGAGATTCGTCTGTAAAAACTTGCATTTGTGGTCACAGTGGTGCCTGTGCTAACCTTCCTATGGTGTAGAAATATACCTAGTTGGACGAATCTTATTGTGGCTAGCTGGTCTAGTGGCTAACGCGACGGTCTGGAGTTTTGAGACTCTCTGACCGCGGGTTCAATCCCGGCCGGGGTATGGTTTGTTTGCAATCGTGTCATTACGATTTCGTGAGTCATGTTGACGGCAGTGAGGGGACTTGAGCTAGAGTTCGTCACGGCCACGCTAGCTGGAGATTCGTCTGTAAAAACTTGCATTTGTGGTCACAGTGGTGCCTGTGCTAACCTTCCTATGGTGTAGAAATATACCTAGTTGGACGAATCTTATTGTGGCCAGCTGGTCTAGTGGCTAACGCGACGGTCTGGAGTTTTGAGACTCTCTGACCGCGGGTTCAATCCCGGCCGGGGTATGGTTTGTTTGCAATCGTGTCATTACGATTTCGTGAGTCATGTTGACGGCAGTGAGGGGACTTGAGCTAGAGTTCGTCACGGCCACGCTAGCTGGAGATTCGTCTGTAAAAACTTGCATTTATGGTCACAGTGGTGCCTGTGCTAACCTTCCTATGGTGTAGAAATATACCTAGTTGGACGAATCTTATTGTGGCCAGCTGGTCTAGTGGCTAACGCGACGGTCTGGAGTTTTGAGACTCTCTGACCGCGGGTTCAATCCCGGCCGGGGTATGGTTAATATTTATTGTTCTTATATTCATGGGAATGTTAAACGCATAGGGGTTCAACAGTGCCTAGGGAAATGGAAGGCATTCAGGTTTAACCCAAAAGGAAGGACATGTCTCAGTCCTTGGATCAAGAGCCCTTCACCAACATGAAGGTATCTCCCTGGAGGGAAAGAGCCTATATACACTGTTAATCAGTTTGGACTTAAAATTGCTTCTACAATTTACTAATATTTTGTGCATTATAATTTTAAGAATTATAGCAAATTTTTATCAAAATAGTCAGAAATATATAAGTTTTTATTTACCTTTTAAAATGAAACATATACATTATACTTGACCATATTATACATTACATAACTTCAAATAACCAGTTACCATGGGATTTGCTGTAGTTATTAGAACAGAATTTGGGATAATATAGTAGAATGTTATGCAGCAATGATCCAAGGAGATACTAAAATTGTCGTACGACTGTAAAATAGAAACTTCTTAAAAGTTTCAGTGACATTATTTTTTAACTTTTCTTTCTGGCTCATGAACATATATAGGATGGAAATTAAATCTTACAAACTTGTACTTTCATTTTGTATAACCTTATCTTTACTTTCCTAATCTTATTTCCTTACAAATTAGAAGACCAGAAACTATTAATAGATATGTATATATATCAACAGTGATTCTAGTGATGATGATGAGGATGAAGAAATTCCAGTGGACGAAGAAATTAGAAGACGACGCAGTGAGTCTCTGCCGCCAGAGATGGGCACTGATGACACAGACAATCAGCAGCCTACAATGTGGCTTGGAACAGAAGATGGATTTATCCATGTATATAATTGCTCTGATACAATTAGAATTAAGAAGAATAAGTTCAAATTCCAACCTGGATCTCCAGTTCATTGTATAATGTAGGTTTATATATGTTATTGTTTTTTAGTTACTTACATTATAATTATTGTAGAGTACTATTAAGTAATGATAATACTGTACTCGTAATATATGCACTTGTATCTGAATAAAAATGTTAATGTATTGTACTAATAAGAGTGAATTTAAAGAAAAGAAACAGTCGATACTGCCACAGATGCACAGACCAGAGCATCCATAATCTGGTCATTAGTTGTGTGGATTATTTCACGGTTCATGAGCCTTTCAGGAACCTAATTCTCATGAATTATGGTGTTTAATTCTAAATATTTTGATAAATTATGAAAATCTCAATTTATCTAGAAATACCATATCCATATTGGTGTCATTCCCATGATTTCCAGATTGAGGAAACTTTAATATGTTGCATGGCTCTTGTGCAAGAAGAGGAGAAAATGGAAAAATCTGAAAATTCTCAGATTTTATTAGGTTGGGGTAGGCAAGACTAGATATTTCTTGTAACTTTTTTCTGTGGCTTTTTATTTCCTGTGATTTTTTTCTTAGACTGAGGAAAACACAGGCTCATGAAAATAGAAACAGGAAGTACAGTAAAGTATAGTACTGTATCAGTTTGTTGTCCTAGAATCACTTTTCTCTGTATTATGAAGCTTCTCATAACATAATACTCTATATTATACACAAATACTGTACGAACAGCTCAAAATGTAGTTCTAAAGCTATATGGTCAAGCAAAATAAATTTCATTAATTTTGGATGATCAGAATTTAAGTATTACTTAGAATAGAATGGAATGTATTGTATCACATTTTGCTGAAGTTTTTCACCTGTGATCATATGAAGTATTGTGGAAGAATATTCAACAAAGAACTCGGATGAAAAAATTCATGACATAGCCAGTAATTTCTCCAAACATTTCATGAAATATCCAACATCATGTTTTCTGTAATAGAATCCAGATAAATTTACTATCTCTTCTCTCAGTCACTTAGACAATCGTGTGTTTTGCATCCCTGGCTAATGGAGACATTATCGTATATCGCCGAGACGCATCCGGGGGATGGAACGTAGCAGACAGACAAGTCATTAGCATTAGCACTGCTGCTGCACCTGTTACTAGGATGATGGCTGTGGCTGGCAAGTTGTGGTGTGCAGCCATGAACACTGTGCGGGTCCTTAATACTGTGTCCTTACAAGTAGAAGTGAGTCTCAATAATGACAATATGCACTACATTGAAGTGAAAGGTCAGACGTTTGATTACATAACTCTTGCTATCTACTTTTTTTTTTTTATCCAGAAAATATTTCATATCACACTCTGCTAGCCCACTCTTCTTGAAACACCAAGTACTCAAGAATAACAAAATCACAAATTATTATTATCATTTTTTTTAACATACTGACTGTCTCCCACTGAGGGTGACCCAAAAAATAAAGAAACATTTCCATCATCATTCACTGTATCACCATCTCTTACCAATATTACAGTTCAGATGCCTATCCAAACTGCAAATATCTCTACTTCTCCTTTAGAGTGCAGGCACTGTGCTTTCTACCTCAAGGACTAAGTCAGACTAACTGGTTTCCCTGAATCCCATCACAAAATGTTTGTTACCTTGCTTACACACCAACAGCTTGTCAAGTCCTAAAAACTATTTGCCTTCACTCACTCCTGTTATTATTATTATTAATAATATTCAGTAAAATATTTTGGGTCACCCTGCCTCGGTGGGAGACGACCGACTTGTTGGAAAAAAAAAAAATAAAAAAAAAATTGCAGTACAGTATCTGCAGTGTTGTGAGAGGATAAACCAAATTAGTTCATTTATTTAGAATATTATTAGCTTTTTTGTGTTCAGATCATACACACTGAGACCTAAAAGTTTGATTATGAAAAAAACATCATCATCATCATCATCATCATCATCATCATCATCATCATCATCATCATCATCATCATCATCATCATCATCATCATCATCATCATCATCATCATCCTCATCATCCTCATCATCCTCATCATCCTCATCCTCCTCATCCTCCTCATCCTCCTCATCCTCCTCATCCTCCTCATCCTCCTCATCCTCCTCATCCTCCTCATCCTCCTCATCCTCCTCCTCCTCCTCCTCCTCCTCTCCTCCTCATCCTCCTCACTCCTCCTCCTCCTCCTCCTCCTCTCCTCCTCCTCCTCCTCCTCCTCCTCCTCCTCCTCCTCCTCCTCCTCCTCCTCCTCCTCCTCCTCCTCCTCCTCCTCCTCCTTTTTTTAATTTTGCACATCTAATTTTACTTGGAGAGTAATATACTTTAACTTGTTTACTTTAAAACAATACTGCATTAGTTAATCCTTCTCCCCATCTCAACTTTAAAAATAAATAAGCAGGTGGTGCAGAAGAAAGTTAGACACATATATTTGATATTAACATTTTTGTATGCTCACTGAAGACAGTCTCATCACTATTTAAAATGTATTCTTTCTCCAACAGCATTCATTTGTGGTTGGTGGAGATAATGGGCGTGGTGTGTCTTGTATGGTACTGCGGTCATGGGGTAAAGGGTGTCGTACCATAATTCCGCTGCTGTTAGACTGTACCATGCAGCCACCTATGAGTGTTTATGTGAAGTGAATGTTGCTCCAGCAGTCACAAAAATGCTTGCAGGTAAGTTACTTTCTAATACAAAATAATTTCTTTGTTATGGAGAGCTTTGAGAGTGTGATGTTTATAATTCTGTGTGCCATTTGCAGAAAATGTGTTGTACCAAATTGAAAATAGAATAAAAATTAGTATAATTAATAATCAGAATTCTTAATTTTTATGATGTGGTTAAAGTCTGTGTGAAAAAAATTGCTCTTAAAAAAGTAGAAAAAGAATGAACAAGATAAATAAAAATAACTTCAAAATCCCAGTGACTATTGCTGCTACAGTAGGGCCCCACTTACACGGCAGGTTAGGTTCCAGGCTAATGCCATAAAGTAGAAATCACTGTAAAGTGGAACACCCTTTTTTTCCACTTATAAATGCATTAAATTATGGAATTAAATTATTGGGAATGTAAAAAGTGAGCGTAAAACAAAAGCCTGTAATTGTTTTACATGATGGTAGGATTGCTGGTGTCTTTTATCTGTCTCATAAATATGCAAGATTACAGGTACGTCTTGCTACTTCTACTTACACTTAGGTCACACTACACATTTGTTTATACACACTCATCTGAGTTTTCTTTGATTTTATCTTAGTTCTTGTTCTAATTACTTTTCCTTTTATATCCATGGGGAAGTGGAATAAGAATCTTTCCTCCATAAGCCATGCATGTTGTAAAAGTCAACTAAAATGCCAGGAACAATGGGCTAGTAACCCCTTTTCCTGTAAAGATTACTAAAAAGAATAAGAAGAAGAAAATTGTCAAAGTGGGAAGTCTAAATGTGCGTGTGATAAGAAAGAGATGATTGTGGATGTTATGAATGAGAAGAAGCTGGATGTCCTGGCTTTAAGTGAAACAAAGCTGAAGGGGGTGGGTGAGTTTCAGTGGAGAGGAATAAATGGGATTAGGTCAGGGGTTTCTAATAGAGTTAGAGCTAAAGAAGGAGTAGCAATAATGTTGAAGGATAAGCTATGGCAGGAAAAGAGGGATTATAAATGTATTAATTCAAGGATTATGTGGAGTAAAATAAAGGTTGGAAGTGAGAAGAGGGTTATAATAAGCATATATGCACCTGAGGAAGAGAGAAGTGTAGAGGAGAGAGAGAGATTTTGGGAAATGTTGAGTGAATGCGTGGGGAGTTTTGAACCAAGTGTGAGAGTACTTGTGGTTGGAGATTTTAATGCTAAAGTGGGCAAAAATGTTGTGGAGGGAGTAGTAGGTAAATTTGGGGTGCCAGGGGTAAATGAAAATGGGGAGTCTTTAATTGAGCTATGTGTAGAAAGAAATTTGGTAATAAGTAATACATATTTTATGAAAAAGAGGATAAATAAATATACAAGGTATGATGTAGCACATAGTGAAAGTAGTTTGTTAGATTATGTATTGGTGGATAAAAGGTTGATGGGTAGGCTCCAGGATGTACACGTTTATAGAGGGGCAACTGATATATCGGATCATTATCTAGTTGTAGCTACAGTTAGAGTAAGAGGTAGATGGGATAAGAGGAAAATGGCAACAAGAAGTAAGAGGGAGGTAAAAGTGTATAAACTAAGGGAGGAGGAAGTTCGGCTGAAATATAAGCAATTATTGGCAGAAAGGTGGGCTGGTGCAGGTATGAGTAGTGGGGGGGGGGTTGAAGAGGGTTGGAATAGTTTTAAAAATGCAGTATTAGAATGTGGGGCAGAAGTTTGTGGTTATAGGAGGGTGGGTGCAGGAGGAAAGGGGAGTGATTGGTGGAATGATGAAGTAAAGGGTGTGATAAAAGAGAAAAAGGTAGCTTATGAGAGGTAGTTACAAACCAGAAGTGTTATAAGAAGAGCAGAGTATATGGAGAGTAAAAGAAAGGTGAAAAGAGTGGTGAGAGAGTGCAAAGGGAGAGCAGATGATAGAGTGGGAGAGGTACTGTCAAGAAATTTTAGTGAAAATAAGAAAAAAATTTGGAGTGAGTTGAACAAGTTAAGAAAGCCTAGGGAACAAAAGGATTTGTCAGTTAAAAACAGAGTAGGGGAGTTAGTAGATGAGGAGATTGAGGTTATAGGTAGATGGCGAGAATATTTTGAGGAACTTTTAAATGTCAACGAAGAAAGGGAGGCGGTAATTTCATGCACTGGCCAGGGAGGTATACCATCTTTTAGGAGTGAAGAAGAGCAGGATGTGAGTGTGGGGAGGTGCGTGAGGCATTACGTAGAGAGAAAGGGGGTAAAGCAGCTGGGACTGACGGGATCATGACAGAAATGTTAAAAGCAGGGGGGGACATAGTGTTGGAATGGTTGGTATTTTTGTTTAATAAATGTATGAAAGAGGGGAAGGTACCTAGGGATTGGCAGAGAGCATGTATAGTCCCTTTATATAAAGGGAAGGGGGACAAAAGAGATTGTAAAAATTATAGAGGAATAAGTTTGCTGAGTATACCAGGAAAAGTGTACGGTAGGGTTATTATTCAAAGAATTAGAGGTAAGACAGAATGTAGAATTGCAGATGAGCAAGGAGGTTTTAGAGTGGGTAGGGGATGTGTAGATCAAGTGTTTACATTGAAGCATATATATGAGCAGTATTTAGATAAAGGCAGGGAAGTTTTTATTGCTTTTATGGATTTAGAAGAGGCATATGATAGAGTGGATAGGGAAGCAATGTGGCAGATGTTGCAAGTATATGGAATAGGTGGTAAGTTACTAAATGCTGTAAAGAGTTTTTATGAAGATAGTGAGGCTCAGGTTAGGGTGTGTAGAAGAGAGGGAGACTATTCCCCGGTAAAAGTAGGTCTTAGACAGGGATGTGTAATGTCATGTTACAAAAAATGTGATTTCTAATAAGCATAGAGATCTCCAGTGAATACTAGAAAGGACTGCCCTTCTAGAATCCAGCCTGTTACTGGGTTTTCGTAACAATTAGTCAGTATCCTGGTCCAATTATCCATTAGAATTCAGAATGATTCAATAGTGCTTCAGGATTACAACTGGTAGGCTACTAACTAAATAAATTAAAATTTAATATGTTTATTAATAATAAAAATGTTTAGGAGTATATTTCAAATTAAATTAAATTAATCACAGTAATCAAAATAATAATAATCACTTCTCTCGTGTACAGAAATATTGTGCTGAAGGCACATATCACATTTATATGTCTTAAGTACCGTCTGGTACATTAACATTTAATAATACATATATATAGTATATACAAATAAGTTTGTGTGTATGTGTGTAAGTGCTCTAAGTAGTTCGCTATGTCTCACGACTCGACTAGACTTAAACCAGTGACTGACAAAGTCCTTACATCAACTAACTTCCTGACCAACCTGGCAATCAGAACAGCTTGCTTGAACAATAAAACGACTGATAAGACGAACAACAATATAACAAGCAAAAGTGACACAGAGTCAGGAACAAGGAGATAATATAACGACACTAAGTAGGGACCATCTGCAGATCCTCCACAAAAGTCACAAAACTCCCATACTACTGAATCTAAGTTCAGCATAAGAAAATCCCCGATTGTGACAGTGCACAGATACCAGTACAAATTAGGTCAGAAGCTACAGCTCAGGACCTGAGTTGCTCAGAGTGTCTATGTGACACACAACCTCAGTACAACGTCGAAAATCATTAAGTCTAGACAATGTTCTGTGAACAGAGTTCTACAGAACCAACAACAAGAAAGTGACAGAGACGATCTTCCAACAAGGGCCAATAAGGGAGAGTTAGGCACGTCTTGTCAGGAATACGTCCAACCACTAAGAGAGTCTAGCCCAGACTGACTACTCCAGGCGAGGTGTGAACACCCCCCCTCGATCACGTGATTGCTCCATGGACAGTTGCTGCCCAGCAACACCGAGAAGCCGGCAGGGAAATGAGCAACGAGCAATAATTACAGTAGTTAGACAATCAAGACTTGAACTATGAGCACTGAATAATATATATAACATATGTTACATCCTACCTAATAAAAGTAACTAAGTCAAATACGATACGATACGATAGATTCTAGGTAAGACCCCAAGAAGGGGTGAGTGGGGAAGACTGGATAGACGAAGACTAGATCTTGAGAGGAGTGTCCTTAGTCTTAGAGAAAGAGCCAGGGCTTGACCCAGCAGCCAAGCTGAATGTGAAGGAGTTTTGCAGGAATGAGCTTAGAGTCAGGATATGCGGGCAAGCTTGATCGATGACACGGGAGCACTGCTGTGTGCATTTCATCAGCACGTGGTGTTGACTGGCTTGTGATTGGTGGAGACTGGCGCGAGGCGAGAGGCAGACTGGAGGCGGCAGCTAGTGATGACATGACTTCTTATGTGCAATCATATCACGTAGTGAGGGAGCCGTTTGTGATTCTTCTATATGCTGATTTTGAGAGCAGGACAAGTTTTACCAAGTGCTGTTTGTCATTGCCTAGGTCTTCTAGTAAGGCATTGTTGGTATATGGGTCGGATCCAATTTCTACAGTGTACTTGACATTGCCATCTCTTATGCTGTATATAGCTTGGGCTGCATACAGGGTGTGGCAGTCTGGTTTGCATGTGTACGGGGTGAGAGGTGCTGTGGTTCTGAGGTTCAGGTTTTCTCCTGTTGTTTCTAGTGAGTGTGGAGTTTCTTGTAGATGACTCACAGGTGGATGTATTTTAGCTTTTTTTGCCATTGGTGACTGAGATGGGGATGCGAGGTGTAGGTCGGCAGAGGTGGTGGTGGTCTCGGGTAGATCAGGTGAGGCTGCTGATTGGTCAGTGGCTACGGTGGAGTTAGTTGTTGTTGTTGCTGTATCTTGCGTTGTATCTTGTGTTGTGGTTATTGGAGTGATAGTGTTTTCTGGTGCTTGGGTGAGCTTGATTATGTCAGCAGAAGGTGGAGAGTCTGGGAAGGTGAATGCCGGCATGTTATTTAGTCTGAAGAGTTCGTTGATGGTAGTGTTGAAGGAGCCTGGTGCTGCCATGTTGTGCATGTGAGCATACAGTAAGCAGTACTGTATTTTTGTTGAGTCACATGCTGGTGTGGAGATAGTGGTGGTGGAGTGCTGGGTTGATTTC